GTTTTCTCTTTTGTTCCATTTTTTTTTTTTACCAATGTAGACTATGGAAGCTGGCTGGCATGTGACAGGAGGTACTGGACAAGAATGAGAGAGACGGGCAGACAGAGACTGGCTGTACTTCACGCCTCGCTGCCCAGACTGCCCTCGTTTAAATTAGTCTGTGTGATATTTATGCTTAAATAAAAGTGGGAGCTGCCATATTTGCTCAGTCTTGCGGCCCACAAATCTCTTGCCTTGTGACAGCCTTCCTAAAGCCACAGACATGCAGCTGTGTTGCAAACCTTGACCATCGAAAGTCGCCAGGAACTTCTTTGTCACCTGTGACGTATTCCTGAAGTTCTAAACCACAGTTTTACGTTCCATTGATGCCATTTGGAACTTTTCATTTTTGTCTTAATTTCTATGCTTTCGTCGTGCTGTGCGAGAAGAATGTTGTGGGTGTGGCTACCATGTCATGTGATGATGTCCCGGGATAACATTTTGACGCGTCGTGTTGGCAAAATGCATGGTACATGAATTAAGAGTGCGAGTTGTTTGTGAAACACTAACTTTATTAGGCTCCAGATGAGTTGTGTTAGCGTGGTTGTGCAATCATGACCCACAGCTGGCCCTTTCCACCAGGCTGTCAGGAAACCGGAAAGTCAGGGTGTGCATGACCAATTTTTTATTTATTTTTTTGCAGTGCAAGATCTGGACTGAGGCGCTGTGGCAAATCACCCACCATCTGAACTGGTTGAGCAGAGTGTGTGCACGCATATGTATGCGTGACCGTACTGTACTTCTCTTATTGTCCTGCACAATGTTAAATATACAGTCTGCACTGAGCAGGCTGTAGAACAGGAAGTGGCTCAGTGTGTTTTGTTCTCAATGGGAGACAGTGATATTCATCTCCGGTTAGGCAAAGCATGACCCGTCATTCAAAAATCCCCTCCGCCTTCATTCAAAAATGCCTTTCCTTTTGTTTTTCCCCTGACCTGTGCTATTTAGCACAAGATCTGGAGAACAAGTCTTTGCACCACAGGGAGACTTTAGCAGGGAAGGAAAGGCATTGGTAGACACAGCAAAACACAACAGTCCAGTGAAGCCCTTAGCAACAGCGTTAAGCTGTTACACACACCTTCCTGAAGACTCTTGATGGATTTGAGGAGGAAGAAATGAGCAGTGTGGCATTTCAAACAAGGAACAAAATAAAACGGGGAGGGCAACATTACAAGTTGCCCTCGGCTAGAAGAATCCTCTCTTCCGTCAAAGCAAAAACCTTCTTTTCTCAGCCACACTTTAAAAATGGCAAGAAATACGAATTTTTTTCTTTCTATAACATATTCAATACAATAAATTCTGAATGCTACATATTGGGGACGATTCATCCATGTACCTTTCATTTTTAAACACTTTGTTGTCACTATTATGTTTTTAACACAACAGTCATATCATAAATGTAGTGTCTTTTTAGCTTAAATAATGATTTACTGATCATTTCAATTCTATCTTAAAAAGATAAGCTGTTCGTTTTCACGTGTTTTGACTGAAATGATCTAAACTACGTTGTTAAAAAAGATTAAAAAGACAAAGTTTTGTTTGCACAGTTTTGCATCATTACATTTACCCAGCATTTCAGCATTAACATCTGCAATAACCGATAAAGTGCTGATATAGATCCTCCATCAGTATAAACCAATGTATTTTTCAGGCACACATCCAGTTAATGCCTTTAAGGCTAAATAAAACGTGTGATGACTCGGATACATTTCAGATAGATGGCTTTTAACTGGAGGGACTAAAAGGTGGGAATTCCATTTTTGAGTTACATTTTCATGAATTTGAATCTTATTCTTCTCACACTGTCTCTGCTGTTGTTGATCTGTTTGAGATTCAAGTTCCCACTCCCATTATGAGTGTGAAAATTATGCTTGCATCTTTTACTCTGAAGCGTACGCGGCCTGTTTTCATCTACAGTTCTAAATGCCTATTAGAGAGCTGTGTGTTGTGAAAGCTGCAGAGGAAGCAGATTAAACAAACGTACATGCTAATGGGTTCAATCAGTCCTTGATTTTCAAGTTTAATAGGGTGTTTTGTTACTCAAACTGGCTTGATTCATTTATTTAAAAAAAAAAAAAAAAACCTTGAGTGAAAGAGAAGATGGCAGACTGCACAAGAAAAAGTGAGTGCTGCAAACAGCTGCTTTTTGTTTCTCAAATTGTAAAGGGAAATTACTGTGGAAATGTAATGGACAGAATAGCCAAAAGGCCAGGATCTCCTTCACATTATCTCATTATGACACTCCTGTGTCTGTCTACATCCAGATTGTGTGTACACAGACTTTGTGTATTTTATTTTATTTTTGCATGTACAAATGTTGACTTCTAGGTATGTGAAAGTGGTGAAGGTCAGAAAGCTTAATGAAACAATTTCACAGACTCTGGGTTTAAGCTCAGCTGGGCCTCTTTGGTCCCGACTGGCAGATGAGGTGACACCTCAGTGAATTATCGTCTTTTACGTCCTCTGTTAGATTTGAAAGGCAGTCCTCAGTTTTCGCTTCCAGCAGAAAGCCTGGCTGCTTAACACAAGGCTGTCTCTTATCCCACCACTTCCCTCAGCCCCAGCGAACAAGCAACCGTTTGTTGCGGCCTATCCTTGAAGGAATTTTTCAATTTAACTTTTTATCGTCTTTTGGAATCGACACCTTAATAATCAGACATTCTTTCAAAGAGGAGGAAACTTCCAAGGATTTTACTGTCGGAATAACCTTCACAATGCCGTAACCGCAATCATACCAGCCGGAGAACAAAACAAGATATTTCAAACAAAGAGATAAAAAGGCTACAAAGTTTATGAAATATTAGTCCGGAATTTCTGTGAACGCAGCCATTAAGCTATCACAACCCATATCCATCTCATTGGAAGTTTCCACCGTAAGTTGTACAAATCCTAAAATAAATGCAGGCTTCAGTTTCAATGGAAATCCTAATTATGGGTGAGAGGCCGAGGCTTAGCATAGGCCCCATTAGCTGCTAAAGGAAGAGGGATCCAGCCATCAAAGCAGCTCAGCATGGGCCGCTCAACTGAACTAATCTCAGCCTAACCGCCCAGCACTTTAACCTGTCGCCTGAGACCACTGCATCAGGACCACTCTTCACAATCCCGAGTCCCGACAGCTGACTGAATTAACTCTGATGCCTTTTGTTTAGTTAAACTCAATTCCATCTCTTTTTGCTTTCTCTTTCTTGCCGTTTTCCAGCCATCTCTCTCTCTCTCTCTCTCTCTCTCTCTCTCTCTCTCTCTCCGAGTCTTCCCCTCAGCTCTCTGGGACTGTGGCTTGGCGGCTCTTAAAAGGTCATTAATTATTTCTGGTTAGCTGTAGGTTTTTTTTCACCGTGTGTGGCCGTCTGTTGGCCTGTCTGTCTGTCTCTCTCCTCCTTCCTCTATTTCATGTACTTTCACAGCGATTCTGTCTGTTTATAGTTTTGACACATTCAGATGCCAACTTTCCTATCCATCCATTATAACCTTCTGTCTCCAACAATAGCATCTTTTTTTATTTCTTATTGTCAATTTCTGTTTTATGCTAAACCCTTAATCTTCACAGCAGTTGTTCTCTGTTGACAAAATCTTAACTCGTGAGTTATTCTATAATTGGAGATACATTTTGCGTTTCAAAAAGTTAAGGAAAAAACTGTTTCACTAACAGAAGTTCTTTCCAGCATCTTATTGAAAACATATTCAATTTGAATATTTTGGTGCTTGCCAGACACAAGATTTTTTTTGTATTTAAAAAAAAAACCCAACAGATTTCTTTATAGTATTGTTTGTCAAATGTTACTGTCAGTTTTGTTGCATACTTGTCAACATTGTTACTCCACCTTGGTGACAGAGTTTGACTGTAACGAATTGACAATTTTCGACATCTGAAGAAAGAACGTCTGGTTCTTTGGACATTAGTAGTAGTCCCCAATCTGCTAAAATACCAGATGGAAGAGGGATCATTCCATCTTCCTACTTTCCCAGTTCAATCACAGTCTGTTCTCCTCACTGCAATTAGAGAATGTCTGTGAGAAAGCATCATCAGGAAAGGCTGGGATTGTGACTCGGTCTAAAGGAGGTCACCATCTGTTTAATCTGTTTACTCTTGTTTTGCCATGTCAATCTCACCTGATGTACTGCATAGACACAGAGCCTGAGGAGTGGGCAAAAGGTAATGAAGGATAGATGGAAAGTCAAACAGAATAGAGATAAGAACAGAGATGCAATGAGCATGTGGATGGACCACATTATTACACAGAGAAATAATCAGATTTATGCTGTCCTGGTGTTCACAAACATTTATAATGTCTTTCGAATGGGTTTGCACTTCATTTAAATTGAACCAACTGTTGCCACATAACTAGATTTCTGTCTGCTTTTGTAGATCCCACAAAACTAACCATTTAACATCAGTGGAAAGAATACAGGGTACAATGAGACATGGTATCTGAATCCGAGAAGGACATTTTATTGGTTCTTGCTAAGGCCTTTAGGAGCCATTGTAATGTATGTACATGTATGTTATATCCATCTATCCTATCTCTCTATCTATCCTATCTCTATCCGTGAGGATGTGCTGTGGCTTCTTTATGAGTGAAGGATTGAGAGAGGGATCGAGACAATGAGCGGATTGCATTTTGGTCCTGTGGGCTCTGCCACATGTTGTGCCTCTTACAGTAGTGGAGCTGTTTACACGTGTTTATTGTGTGCCTTCCATCCAAAATAAAGAAAATGTGCATCGTACATTGATGATTCGGTCACCTTTTTATTCCCCAAACTCTTTCCTCTCTCCTCCGTTAGACCACGCTGTCACTGTACTAAACTGTCGGATCATTACAGACTTGCTCAAATGCTATTTTATCAAAACCAAGTTTATTGTTAGTGGTGAAATCACTCCATAATGCTCTACACATTTCAAAACCCAAACCCTAGGGGGTGGGAGTCCACTTTCTTGTCGGTTACATGCTCTTCTTTTTTAGGAGATCTTCCCTCGAGCCATCCCGCTCACAATGACACTGCTGTGCTCCACAGTTGGCTTCAGTTGCCTGCTGAGTCACTGTGGTGCAACTCTGCATCTTCCATCAATTTATGCGTTAGCCCAGTCACTCAGATGTCACAAATCAACCAAAGATTGTGAAATCATCTCAAATAAATGAACACGTCCATCTTCCTCACAGCACACAACCAGGGCAGCCAAAGAGGGTGTGTTTGCAAGTGTTTGCGCGATCATATGACCTTATTTTGCAGATCTTACTTTTTAGTTTTCAGTTTCATGACAGTTTGTTTCTCTCGTTCTTCTCACAGAAAGGCAGTCCAGGAAAGTTCTCCATGAATGTACGTCACAATGATGATGACAGACCAGATTCCGCTGGACCTGCCGCCACCACTATTGAACGGGGAGGTGGCCATGATGCCGCACATGATTAATGTTAATGGCGATGGGTCGCAACAGGTGAGCTTTACTCCGGATGATGCTTGAATTGTTAATGTATACCTGGAATGCAATTTATGTAAGGGCACTTTGCATAAATGCCTCTGTCAGATGCACACATATGAATGCAAATGTAAGCGGCTACACATCCATAGACCAGGGATTTTTTTTGTCGATGCCATGATGGAGCTCTAAATAAGATGATCCCATTCCAATGTAAAAAGTGTAGAAAGACCCATTTAGAAAATGGTATCAAATAATTCGCAGTATTAAATAACTGAATTTCATATTTTCATTGCAATAGAGCCGAAATAAATACAATCTGTCAATGGAGTTTCTCTTCTCTATCCACTATTTGTAATTGTAAACATATAACCCTGAAGTAAAACATTTTAAATTCAATTTGTTTGTAAAGTGCTTTTCCTATTCAAATATTAAAAAAAATATTTTCATGCAATGTTGAAATATTTCGAATATTGTTTCAAAGCAACTTTAGAAATTGATCATGCTAAAGATGATGAGAAGAAACAATTTCAAACAAGATTTTTTTTTTATAAATAAATAATAACAAAGCATATTTTTATTAAACTACTGTATATGCAGGCATGTTTTGTTTGTTGCTGTTAAAATTGGTTAATCAATTGATCAATTTAATGATTTTAAATTATAAGTCATTACAGAAAAGATAATTTTTCCATATAATAAATTTCCGTCACATTTGGCTTTACAATGACAATAATATTGCCAGCAGTGTTCTGGAAACCTGTTTGAAGAAACCTGGAAAAGTTAATACAGTGGTGTGAATAAGTGTTTGCCCCCATGCTAAAGTTGCCTAAAAATTGGCATGGGGTACTTTCCATAAGATCATCTTTCAATGCAAATCAAACCAGCTATTAGGCTAACTGAAGTAAAACCATGCCAATCTCTAGGTGTGGTGGAAGGTGTGTGATGATGTGGGGATATTTTAATTCCAAAGGCCAAGGGAACTTTATCAGGATGCATATTATCCTGGATCCATGAAATAACTGGCTTTTAAAAATAAAAATCTGCCTGACTCTATGGGAATTTAACATAGGGGGGCAATGACTTATGCACCCTGTATTTTAAGGAAAAACATTTATTTATTTATTATACATTATTCATTCACAAAGAAAATTTGTGTCCTTAAAGGTTGGAGTTTTCCTCATTTTTCTAATTAAGTCATTAAGATCAATATCCAAAAGATGATTTTTTTATTCCTCTTTTTAGGCAACTTTAGCATGGGGGCAAACACTTATTCACACCACTGTAAGTAGTTTGAGAGTTGAAATTGAAAAGTTGACTTGCTTTGTAGCTTCTCGTCTCCCTAAATGAATTCTTTCTCGCTAATTCCTGATGTAAAACAAAGCCAGATACATCCATTGTGAACCAGATCTGTATTTTGGTCCATGAGGAATGTTGTTGTCATCTTAAATTAGACATTCAGTGAGTTCAGTGAGCCCTCAGGCATGCTTCACATTTCCCCTCGCACATCTCTCTTTTGATCTGCGCTATCAGAGCGGATCAGTGTGTTCTGATCTCCTCTCCAGGTGCTGCAGATACAGCGCCCCGGCCGTGTTTCCTCCGACCAGAGCGGAAAGAGAATCAGACCCTTGAGAGATAAGGAAAAGGGCGTCTGCAGCAGATAGTGAAGGTTAAATGCTTTGGATTCAGCCATGTGCCGTTTCTCTGCATCACTGTAAAGAAAAAGGATGGCACAATGACGAAGTTGTCAGTATGTACCCGGCACCCTTGATCAATTGTAGCATTAGACTGCCAACATGATTATGCAAAGGTGCGATGTTTGCGTAAGGTCGTGCCGGTGTTCATTTGCATTCTGGTGACGTTGCGAATCAGGAGAGTCATTTATCTGCATTAGGTGTGTGCTGGGAACGGGAGGGGGTTTGAACACAAGGTTTTCCTCTGAAAAGCCGGCTGTGCATGCCGTCGTTCCCATAGCAACAGCAGCAGCAGCAGACAGTGTGTGTATGTGTGTGTGGAGGCAGAAAGTAGGTGCCCAGATCTCCAGGGCTGGAGTGGGGAGATGGGAGATCTGCCTGACACTCCTCCATCAGGGCTGAGAGGAAACCCAGGGCTTGTGCGACATGGCGGGCCTAATTTTTCACATCTACAGGCATGTTTGTACTCTCAACAACCTGTGCACTGACAACATGATGGTAAGCAGCCTGGAGCAAAAGATGGCATGACGACCGGACCATTTCGAGGGGGTTTCACAACATCTGGTTGCGTCATATTTGCTTTCTTGGCAGTTGCGTTGACTGCAGTTCACTAAATGTTCCATGGATCATTTTAATTTTATGGATTGATGCATTTTAAGGATTTGCAACTTTTTTTTTTCTCTCTCTCTCGGGTTGTGTTTGCAGACAAAACTTTGGCCTTGTGTCAGGAGTTTTGAGTTGCACGCCTCTCTGATTTCCACTTGTTTTCGCAGGTGATCCTTGTGCAAGTCAACCCTGGAGAGACGTTCACCATCAGAGCAGAGGATGGATCCCTGCAATGCATTCAAGGTATGTTGTGCTTCCTGTCTCATGCAACAGGTTCCAGCCGTCTCTGGAGCTAGTTTCTGGAAATGTTCCGAGTTCGCATATATGTTGTGCATTGGAGGATGGTGCGAAATGTGGGATGGTGCTGCTGTTCCCTATACTTCTGTTTTGTGTGGTGTTCTTCTAGCTAATCGAAACCATGACTGGTGTGTGTTACTGGATTTGGAGCTGGTGTAAACTGATGAGAGGCCGGGCACAGGGCCACGACTGGCATGCTTCTGAGGAGTATACAGTGGCGGATTTCAAAGCCTCTTTGTCTCATTACCCCTCTTCTTTAACATTCAGTGTCTTTGTATCTAATTATTGATGGACAAGATGGATAGTTTGCACACGCTGCGGTTGGGTTCTCTGAACAGCTGTGCAGATAAGGACCGCTCTCGCTGGTGAACATTAGTTTAAGACGTTTTAGAACGTTCTTGTATCTTGCTGCCTTAGAAAATTTTATTGCAAATTTCCTTCGGGTATTTTGTTAAAAAGGCATGAATGAGCTCCATCAGCACGACTGAAATATACCTTCATCGACACCAACATTTTTGGGGTCATAAAGATTTTTTTTTTAATATTAATAAATAAATTAATTAATTACTACTTCATAAAGTATGTATTAAATTGATCAAAAGTGAAAGTGAAAACATTTCAACTATTCAAAAAATCGTGAAATAATAATAAGAAATGTTTCTTGAACACCAAATCAGCATATTTTAATGATTTTTGATGGATCATGTGAGGCTGAGGACTGGTAATGACTGTTGAAAATACTGCTTTGCCATCAAAACAAATTACATTTTAAAATGTAATTAAATAATTAAAATAGCCATTTTCTTTTTGAATTTAAATATTGAATATAATATAAATATTATTGATATATATTTAAAGGCTCCATAAGAGAGTTTAATGGCCATTTCACACCTACCTTGTTTGCTCCGGACTTTCGGACTTTTCAGTTTGGTCCGAATCAATTTTAGGTGTGAAACTTCCCCCGGACCACGGTCCGAACCAAACAGATGAAATTTGGTCCGATGAAAAGAGTTAATCTAGGTCCGGATCAAACTGAGCAAAGGCTTGGTTCGTTTGTAGTGTGAAAGCATTTCTGTATATGGTTCGGACTTTCAGACCTTTTACAGGAAGTTCTGGTGGTTCCCAAAGAGCAGAAAAAAACAGAAGGTGACACGAGAAATGAGAAAATTTGCACATGGGGAGATAAGGAGATGAGGCTTTTAATTGAAGCATGGTCTGATGACATAATGAGAAGTCAACTTGCATTATTCTCCTCCTTTCCTGCCGGACGACGATAAAATGTTTGCACGATGACGACGTTGATTTGGCGAATTTGAACTAGCCTTGTGTATAGTTGGTGCTGCAGGTAATTATGCCATAAAAATAACGGTATAGTTGCAACGATATGCGTCTGTTCGTTCATGTTGTCGAAGTTACATGGCGAATTGACAACACGCAAATGTTAGACACACGTCCATTTACTGAACCAATCAATGTCAAGATGCAGCCCACACAGATGTTGACGACAGGGCGTAAAATGTCCCGTAAAGTTCTATAGTGCGCTCGCATTATTGCAGTGGGAAACCAAACCAAAACTTTCTGAAAGTATAAAATGTATCAAAACATGAACTTTGGTTCGGACCTTGGTGCGGACTTTCAGGTGGGAAAAGGCCCTAAGATTCAGCCATGCTGACAGACTTTCGCGAGTATGATTGGTTTTATAGAACCGTTCTATACAATCAGAATAATCGATTATTTTTTAGTTTAGACATTGGCAAGCTAGTTTGACATTTTTGTTTTCCACTTAGTTTCAAAAGAAGCCATAACATCAAGTGTCACCAAGAAACACAGAAATCCACTCCGGAGATTCAGTTAAACCTGAAAACACCCACTCTGACTTTCAACAGCCTGCTTCTCGCTACAGGCAAAATCACAAGTCCCATAAGAAAACACTGTCACTTAACGTCAATTTCCTTGCTCAGAAGTGATCTTCAGGTTGCAGAGGCATAGATGAGTGGAGAACAGTGTGGATGGGCCGTTGTTTTTTGGCCGTGAATGGCACATTGTTGTGATAAGGGACAGAAATGGGGCTCTGCAGGGCTTGGCAGCAAAATGTGTTGACACAAGAATAAAACAACAGGTCACAGGCCATAGCACCAGTCCTGCTCACTTCCAGTGTGGCTTTGTGTGATCTTCACCTGTGATTGCCTAATAGCTCTTTCTAATGCGTTAACTTTCATCCATTGTAGTCTTAGCCACAGTTTCTGCATTTGTCAAACCAGTTCCTTCTACAAGAAAAGCATCAATGCTGTAACTAATGTCTGTACTTGACTTTAACCTCTCCCTGTAAAAGGTTAAAAACAAGAAGGAAGTACTTAGGTCAAGCCTTTCAGGTCGCGCCATTGTGTTGGACAGAAGCACATCCGACGCTTAGTGAAAAGGCACGGCTTATGGCATCATGGCGTTGAAGAAAGCAAGCCAGCAAAACAACGAGGACAAGGTGTGGTGCACGGAGGAGAGGGGCATTTCAAACGCACATGTTTACAGAAAAGGTCACTGGGTTTAATTAGAAGTGTCGACTGAAGCAGAGGCTCTGAAGTAGCTGCTTTTTACAGAGAGGCTTCTTTGTCATTATGCAAACCTCAGAGCAGAAGCCTAGATTTAGGATTTTATATAAAGTAACCACTGTTTAGCCCGTGGACCGCTGGCAACACAGAATGCACAGAGAAAACGTTTTGAAAAAGCTCGGGCCAAAATTTTTTCACATTTGCAGTCAAAAGATTTCATTTAAAGGGGTAGTTCACCCAACAATCATGATCATTTTGTCATTTACTCACCCTCATGTCATTCTAAGCCTGACTTTGAGAAACGTCTTAACTGAATTTGTCCAAATTGTGAGTCAATGTGATCCAAAACAACAACATTGGCTGATATTGTATAGCAAATGCAAGGAGGGCAAAAAAAAATATTTTATTGTTTTGTTGTAGAGAACAATGAATGAATGAATGAATGATTAAATAAATGATGGAATTTTAAATATATAAGTTTGTGTCACATAATTTAACTCTAGGCCCCTGAAAAAATTGAAGTAGGATAGTGGAAAAGTGGAGAGAGGAGGATATTAGGTAAGAATTTTATAATCAAGGATTCTTATTGGTCGCTTCCCGTCCTCCCTCATCATCATCTTTCGCATAAACAGTACGTTTTACTCTTCCCACATGGAGATCCCACTCATCTCCTATTTTCGACTCACTTAGATGAATGCTGTGTGATTATTTTTAGCACGTTAAGCCTCAACTTTTTAACCCAACTTTCTTAATCTTAACCCTTTGCCTGCCAGGTGCCATTGTTGGCTGTGCAAGCGCTAGTGTCTTTAAGTTTTTTGGCTGAGTGGCAGGTCATTATGGCGCTCAGTCATATGTTTACTGGAGTTTCAACCCGCTCCTATCGCTGCTAATTAGAGTGGAAGAGGTTGAACTGTAATCTTTGTCTTGTTTAAACAGGGTGACCTTTTTCTTTTTCCAGGGGACCGCTTAACAAGTCCTTTCTCGGCAGTAAGGCTGCTTCATGCTGCTTTCCCACACTTTTACAAATGGAGGGCTGTTCTGTTATTTGAGTTCAGTCTGTCCTAGGTTGGCCGTTGTCTGTTTTGTGTTTCTGTGTTTGCGCTGTGTTTTTTTTGGTTTGTTCCGAGGTCAGGGCAGTCTGAATGTGTTATCTACAGCATTTCCCCACTGAGGAAGAGCTCAGTTGTAACCTATCTTAGAGATGTGGTGTTTATGAAGGCCTATTGGGCCATGGGTTGGTGAAGCGAGAGTTTTGGGGTTAACTGGGGACACTGGTTCTCTTTGAAGTGGTGATCCATCATAAGCACTTCCTGTTTGTCATTTATTCAAGGTCCAGGCCTGATCAACAAGCCACTTTTATGCTTATGGACAGACATTTACTATTTTCATTTGTTTTCCTTCTTTCATCAGTATCTGCTGATAAGGCACTTATTGTTTGGGTATTTAAGAGTAGTTTTTTCCTGTAACCAGCAAATTACACAATGGCCTTCAAATTAACTCAACTTTAAGTTTTCACATGCAAATAAACTCCACGTTCCTTTTTCAATGTTAAGTTGTAGATATTTTCAGAAAACAGTTTGCCCCAATCGCTCCCCGGGCCCTATTTTATTCATAGGTGTAGAAAGTTGTAATTGTTGTTTGCTTTTCACCAAAACAACCTTTTTCATAACCTGATTTACATATTGTTGTACATGGGACAACACTGGACATGCTTATAATGCACAGTGATGGTAAATTGGGGACATAGTTCATCTCTTTAAATATGAACATAAAATCTATAGTATACATAGATTTTGCAGTGCTCTCTTGCCAATAGGGGATTATCACGCTTCCGGGTTTCATGGACGGGATTTGTCAACTTTGTGCATGTCCACTTCCGACGCAGTTCAACAATGGCTGAGACGAAGGCTATATATGTCACTGCTCTGTTCCACTTTGCAAATTTAACCCTACTTAAGTTTTCATGGATTCCCGACTGAATTGAGTATAAGGAAGAAGGGGATTAAAACTTTAAAATAAAACAAGGTAGCATGTTTATTTGCAGCTGGAACTTTAGTGAATCAGACTAATTTACCAGGGATGACGTATAAATAAACTTAGTGTAGTCTGTCATCAGTTCGCCAGTGAGATCGGTAATTCAACGGAAGTGGCAGTGCACAAAGATCACTGAATTCGGAAGTACTACGTTTCAGCGTGATAATCCCCTATTGAATTAAGATTTCATAGTGGAATAAGCTTGTAAGTCCTCTTCAGTCCAACTTGATGAAATTACATATAAAAACCCAGTATCTGTGTCTGTACTGTGAGTGTTTTTGTAATTAAATGCGTTTTATTGTTTCTGCTCTGTGGAGCTATGGAGAAATGCTTCTCTGGTGTAATTACAGCTTTTGCTGAGAGCAC